TGTCAATTTTCAGCTGAATGCCTCTCAAAGTGAGAGAGTCTTTCCATTATATAGAGAAAATAAAGATTACACATCCCTAAAGATCCGCCATTCCTATCCCTAAAGATCATCTATTCTATCTATACAAATCTGCCATTGAATCCCTATAAATCTGCCTTGCTATCCCTCCAAATTAGCTATTCTATCACAATATTTATTCATATGATTCTACAACAAATGTATATGATCATGCTAATTTATATCACTATATAATTACATTAATAAATACAATCATTTAGTTGTCTATCATGCTAACAATTAGAAGAGAGGTAACACAATGCCTATCTTGGATAAAGGGACGACACTGGAAGCAATATAAAAAGGAACTAGCAACAGCGATATGGGGAGCTAGAATCTACCACACTTGGAGAGCAAGAAATTTGAAAATATTTAGTGGGATAATGGTGAATACAGACGATACAACTGCACAGATAATGAAAAAGATTGCTGAAAGAGTGAATTACTTGAAAGACAGTAGGAAAGCGAATAGATGTAGAAACTTAGTTCAGAAAATTTGTAATTAGACTTTCTTTGCTTGAGGCTTTGGGACAGGGAGTACCCTTCCTAGAGGGTGGCTCATCATCCTAAAGTGCTCGTTAACTGTATTTTTTTTTTGTTTTTAATGGTAATTCTTCACAGTTTACCAAAATAATAGACAAACGGGAAGAAATATACAAATTACAGCCTCCATAGCAAACATAACTATCGCTATGGAGCGCTATTATCAAAACTATAGTTATAGGGCCTTATTATGTCTATTACGTTTGCTATTTCTAAAACAAAAATCATTTTTTAAATCAATCCAACGTAGATATGTTTTCTTCTTTCTCACATTAATTGAGTAGTACTAGATCTCTTCTTCTTTTTTTGTCATAATTGAAATTAGCATGTATAATACTATCTTGAAACTAGTCATGAGCGTATATGATTACTAATCATATCATCATCATCATATCATATATCATATATCATATACTACTAAAAGTGGGAACAAAAAAAGTTGAAAGTTGAAATACCATTTTGCTCCTACACTAAATTAAAATATTATAAATATTTAGTTAATTACATGTTTAAATATTAGTGATAATCAATTATTACATTGAGTAAATGGAGAGTTCATGTGTTCAAAGGAGGATTGTTTACTCTTCTATATTTTAATGGAGGTTCAATGCATATATTTAATATTCTTAAAGTTGTTCTCTTTTATCTATTTTGGCCCTTTGAAACCTTCAAATAGTATTTAATTTAAAAGTTAAGAATTCTTTTGATATTCCTCTATTTTTTTCTATATAAATTCATCTTTTTTGTTTCATGAAACTCACATCCAAAATTATCCTTTTCATTTTATAGTTAAAGTAGTGAACCCATCAACATCTAAACAGGTTTGTGTTTGATGGCGAAGAAAACAGGTTTGTGTTGCTATTACAGCCGTTGCAATTCTACTTCTTTTTTTTGCTCTATGAATCAGATAAAGAGAGATATCTCAAAAGGCTGCTCTTGTTTTCTGATCTTAGCAAGCCAACAAAGCACAGGAGGCAATCCAGTGCCACATTGGTTCAACAGAGAAAAAGACGCACAAAACCTGATTAACGAAAATGATAAGCAAAACATCGCCGTTCCATTCTTTTGTTTGGAAAACATATTAGCAGCCACAGATGATTTCTCAGATGTAAATAAGCTTGGACAAGGAGGTTTTGGTCCTGTTTATAAGGTTAGCACTATTTTTTCACTTCAATAGTTCCGCTTTATGTAGTCATTTCATAGCATCCTAGTTTACACATTGAAAATCTTTCAGGGTATATTTTCAGATGGACAAGAAATTGCTGTGAAAAGGCTGTCAACCCAATCTAGACAGGGCATTGACGAATTCAGGAACGAAGTCATACTGATCTCGAAACTTCAACATAGAAATCTAGTCAGACTTTTAGGCTACTGTATCACAGGGTATGAACAGATTCTACTTTACAAGTATATGTCAAACAAAAGTCTAGACTCCTTCATATTCGGTTAGTATATATATCTGAACATATCTTATTTCCTAATCTCTCTATTTACTTGATCAATGTTGTTAAATTTTCTCATTGTTTACCAAAACAAGATCCAACACTTAGCAAGTCATTGAAATGGAAAAAGCGATTTGAGATCATATTAGGAATTTCTCGAGGGCTTCTCTATCTTCATGAAGACTCAAGGCTCAGAATCATTCATAGAGATCTGAAAACAAGTAACATTCTTTTGGATCAACAAATGAACCCAAAAATATCAGACTTTGGCTTGGCAAGGATAGTTGAAGAGCAAACGACAGAAACTAGTAATTAAATATATACAAACGTGTCTAGAATAGTCCAAAATAAAGATCAAACCTAGGATATAAGTTCTTGTATATTTTTTCTTCTAGTGGGGTCCTTTCAAAATATGAAATATCCTAAGAAACAATATAGATACAGTTGGTCGTTGGATAATATGTTCAACGTTTTCATCATCATCCTCATGGATAAATTAATGCGGTCTTCATGCAAACCTAAATGAACCCTAATTGCAATTATTACTAATGTGTTTAGACTATATTGTAGAAATTGTTTATTGACTAGATTTGCGACCGTCCAAGCATTTTATTAAATTGTTCATTAATTCCATAGTTTGTTTCATCTCCAATGACTTTTTGGTCAAATTGGATACCTTTGTTAAAATGCACCATGCATTAACAAAAATTGTTTACTAATTTATTTTTTTTAATGCATATGGCACTGCGACTAACTCAACCTCAAAATTACTAGCATATGAAAAAGATTGTCCAAGTTCATATACGTAAATTATCGATCCATTCTCTAATTAATATCGTCTTTCCCCATAAAAGATGCACTTGACAGTTGACACGAAGTTAATGAGAGCAGAATTTCCGTCCTTCACGCCTTGTTTCAAACAGCAATCAATAAGGCAAAGCAATGCAAACTGTATTTGAAATCATTATTGCTACCGCTAACTAACGATTGGGAAAAAAAGAATTTTGAACTATAAGTCAAAGTAAATGTTTGTGTAATTATAAATTATTTTATTAAGAGTAAAATAAATATTTTAAAATTAATTATTACTAAATATAGAAATATGACATTTAAAATTTTGTTTGACTAAAAATAAAAGTGTATCGTATAAATTGAGACACAAAAAATAATATTATTTTATATATTTACTAGTGTTATAATCATATATCTAAAAAAAATTATGTTCATAGATATATAATACTTTGATGCAATATTCGATATCATTCAGAATATTAATTTTTTTTAAAAATATATTAAATATCATAATAGCAAAAATTTTAATTTCAATACAATAATTTAATTTCGTACCAAAGTTCCCAACTCCATTTTCAAACTGTTTGTCGTGCATATCCGTCGAGGCCTCATTCCTAACGAGACAAGTATTTTCGACTTATTTTGGGGTTTTATCAAATTACTATCTCAAATTATTTATTATTATTTTTAAAAATAATTATTTTAAATTATTTCTTATTTTAAAAGTTAAAAATAAAAGACACAAATAAAAATAGAATTAAAAAAATCCATCCTAATTGAGTACTTTGTTCCAATTTATGCGATACTTTTCATTTTTCGAGAGTAAAATAGTTTAAGTTTGACTGAGAATTTGCTTATAGTCTTCAAAAATTTTGAAATGAAATTTATATGTCTGTAAACTATGTAAAAAGTGGTGTAAAGTCACTATAATTAATGTTAAATATCGTACTGAATTTCATAGAAGATGATTAAACATGTTAATAAATACTGTTGCAATAAAATGAATTCTTTAATTTGTGTTCACCTCACTATATTCTGGCACAATAAGAGCGTAGGGTTAGCATATTAAACATTATCAATATCGAATGCAAGACCAATTAAGGAATTGTAATACTACAAAGTGGGCAAGATGGAGATTGTGCAGATAGTGTTAAACTTAGTAGTGCAAAATTTGTTTTTCCAACAAAATAACTTCAAACAAATTTCATACAAATAATGAAATATACAATATGAAGTTAAATAAACTTTGGAAACAAAAAATCATATAATAACAAGATGAAAGGAAGAAGAGTCAAGTCCTCTGAATTCACAGAGTTTCCTTAAGGAAATCATTCCCCTCAAGTACTCAAGGTTATGGAATATATCCTCCAAGGATAAAATGACTCACGACAAACATATAGTGGTACCTCAAATTTGTTGTCCAGCGAACCACTCAATGACTTGTAATCACACTTGAAGTTTTTTGAAAAAGCAGAAACTTTTTTCTTACTATGTAGTGTTTTTCTTCTTGTAAACTTGTTTCCAAACTTATTTTAATATCTGAGAAAGAATTAGATATTTATAGTCTATACGTGAGCACAATGATTCATGCATGATATGTGAAAAGGTAACCTAGAAATACGAAAGGTTGCATGAAAATACGAAATGTTGCATTCATCTGTCATGAGTATTCATGTATGGAATAATTCCATTTATACTTGCAACACTTTTACATTTTTGATTCACCAATCTTTATTCTATGTACCATTATCCATTCACACATATTATACAATGAACCCAACAATCCCACACATGAATGGGAATGGCTATAACACGAAAGATAGATATACACAGACTAGTGTGTGATTACAAACAAAGACTAGTTGCATCGGGATAAGTTAGTTTCCCTTTAAACTTTCCGTAGTGAACTTATATCGGATGCACTCGATTAATCGGTAGATGCAATATCTTTGAACTGTCGGTAGATGCGATATCTTGAATGTACACCTAGACAATATAAATCACACAACCAGCCTTTTACCATCTATAGTTCTCATGGTTTTGTTCGTTTCAGCCATGAACACTTCCTGATTTCATGAGAGCTTAGAGAATCGGCCTTTACTAATATTCTCCTTGAAGCGGCTTCCACTTCACTCCCACATAGGTGACTCATAAATGTTTACTCCCGTAGAGAAACTATTTGGTCATGCCTTGCCAAACTTAGAAATCATTAAAAAGCTTCAATACAAGCTTTATCCTTGGTTACTAAACATTGTCTTCATCGTGAGAATGGGTTAGATTATTTGACAATGTTGGACCGTCAATCACAACTTTGTTTGATCTCTTGAACCTAGCTCTTGGGATCTCCAATCTGCTAGGTAAAGTTACCATTATTCTTGACTTGTCCTAGGCCTTAAACCCATCATCTTAGATGACCTTTCAACTCCCTCTCTAGTTAGGCCTTTTGTAAGTGGATCTGATACATTATCTTTTGACCTTACATAGTCAATTGTAATAATTACACTAGAGAGTAGTTCTCTAACGGTATTATGTCTCCGTCTTATGTGACGAGATTTACCGTTATACATCATGCTCTCTGCCCTACCTATTGCAGTCTGACTATCACAATGTATGCATACATGTGCCAATGGTTTAGGCCAATACGAAATATCTTCCAAGAAATTTCGGAGCCATTCAACTTCTTCACTAGCTTTATTGAAAGCGATATATTCAGATTCCATAGTGGAGCGAGCAACACATGTCTGTTTGGATGATTTCCAAGAGACTGCTCCACCACCAAGAGTAAATACATATCCACTTGTGGATTTTACTTCATCTGATTCGGTGATCCAATTTGCATTACTATATCCTTCAATTACCGCTCGATATTTGTCATAATGCAAAGCATAGTTTTGAATATGTTTTAAATACCCTAAAACTTTTTTCATTGCCATCCAGTGAGTTTGATTGGGATTGCTCATGTACCGACTCAACTTACTAATAGCGCATGTTATATCTGGTCGTGTACAGTTCATGATATACATCAAACCTCCCAATAATCTCGCACAGTCCAATTGTGAGTCACTTTCACCTTTATTCTTTCGAAGTGTAAAGCTCACGTCTATTGGAGTCTTCACAATATTGAAATTCAAATACTTGAACTTGTCAAGTACCTTTTCAATATAATGAGACTGTGACAAAGCCAAACCTTGTGGAGTTCGAAGAATTTTTATTCCCAATATAACATCTGCCACTCCAAGGTCTTTCATTTCAAATCTACTAGTAAGCATTTGCTTGGTAGCATTTATGTCAGTTAAGTCTCTATTGATGATTAACATATCATCCACATACAAACAAACAATGACCTTATGATTTGGAGTGTCATTAATGTAAACACATTTGTCACACTCATTAATCTTAAATTCGTTTGCCAACATTGTTTGGTCAAACTTTGCATGCCACTGTTTGGGTGTTTGTTTCAGTCCATAAAGTGACTTCACAAGTTTGCACACTTTTCTTTTTTTACCAGGAACCACAAACCCTTCGGGTTATTCTATGTAAATTTCTTCCTCTAACTCCCTATTTAAAAAAGTCGTTTTTACATCCATTTGATGGATTTCAAGATCATATACTGCTGCTAATGCAACCAACATCCGAATAGATGTAATCCTTGTCACTGTGAGTATCTATCAAAGTAATCAAGACCTTCCTTTTGTTTGAAGCCTTTGACTACAAGTCTTGCCTTGTACTTGTCAATAGTACTATCAACCTTCATTTTCCTTTTAAAGATCCATTTTGATCCTAAAGGCTTATTTCCCAGAGGAAGATCAACCAATTCCCAAGTATAGTCATTCAAGATTGATTCAATCTCACCATTGACAACTTTTTTCCAAAAAGATAAATCCGCAGAGGATATTTCTTCTTGGAAGGTTTGAGGCTCATTATCATTGAGAAATGTTACAAAATCTTATTCGAAGGAAGTAGCAGTCTTTTGACGCTTACTACGCCTTGGATTTTCTTCATTTTGTATATTTTCCTTTGGTTCATCTTGAGGTGGTTTAGACCCCCACTAGACTCTTCATATCTAGCTTTATACGAGTAAATGTGTTTAAAGAATTTGACATTATCTGATTCAATTACCGTATTGTCATGAATATCTGGATGTTCAGATTTATGAACCAAAAATCGACATGCCTTGCTATTTACAACATATCCAATAAACACATAGTCCACAGTCTTTGGTCCTATTTTCAACCTTTTGGGTATAGGAACTTGGACTTTTGCTAGACACCCCCACACTTTGAAATATTTCAAGTTGGGTTTCTTTCCTTTCCATTTTTCATACGGAATAGATTGTGTCTTGCTATGGGGCACTCTATTGAGTATTCAATTTGCTGTAAGGATAGCTTTCCCTCCACAAGTTTTGTGGTAAACCTGGACTTATAAGTAAGGCATTCATCATTTCCTTCAAAGTTCAATTTCTTCTTTCTGCAATCCCATTGGATTGTGGTGAATAAGCGGCAGTCATTTGATGGATAATTCTATTTCCGCAAATGGAGATTCATATTCTCCACCCCTATCACTTCTTATCATTTTTATCTTTTTATCGAACTAATTTTCAACTTCAGTTTTGTATTGCCTAAATGCTTCAATTACTTCATGCTTACTTGATAGCAAATAACATAACAATATCTAGTGCAATCATCAATAAAAGTTATGAAATACTTTTTCCCACTACGCGTTGGTGTTGATTTCATATCACAAATGTCCGTGTGAATCAAATCTAAAAGATTGGAATTCCTTTCAACAGATTTATAAGGATGCTTAGCAAACTTAGCTTCCACACATATTTGACATTGTGTTTTATTGCACTCAAAATTAGACAATACTTTCAAACTAATCAATTTTCACAAGGTCTTATAATTGACATGTCCCAAACATTCATGCCATAAACCACTCGACTCAAGCAAGTAAGTAGAAAAAGAACTTTTATTATTAGCAATAGCTATTACATTGAGCTTAAACAAGCCCTCACAAAGGTAAACCTTTCCAACATACACTTCATTTTTACTAATTACAATTTTGTCATAAACAAATACGCATTTGAATCCATTTTTAGTAAGAGAGTAGAAACCAAGTTCTTTCTTAATTATGGAACATGTAGCACATTCTTGAGAGTCACCACCTTTCCAGATGTCATCTTCAAGAGAACTTTACCCGTTCTAAATTTTTAGTTTAAAATATTGAATTAATATGATCTAATTTAACTTTAAAAATTAATCAAATTGACTTTTAAAAAATATAACATGACAACTAAAATGGAACGGAGGGACGTAAATATTATTTCAGGTATGTAAAAAGAAATACTGACACATAACTGAGACAGGTGGATGGAGTATTATTGATCCCCTCCCCAAAAATAAAAAAGGGACAAAATGGACAACACAAAACAAATGTAGAAATCAGCAAGACCTTGATTTGACTGCACAAGAATCTTCTTAATGTGTTATTTTAGCTTACATACAAGATATAATCAGTATTTGGAGAAATTATTAAAAAATATAGAGATATATATACTTCTTCCATCCTAATTTATATGGTAATGATTGATTAAATGCAATTTATTTTTTTATTTTTTAAAAAACAATAGTTCATATTCAGAGATATGAATGAAAGTAGAGTATTACAGGAGAGGTTGTCACCTTTGATTTTAAGACGGTAGGTTCCAGTCATTAAAGGAGCAAAAAAAGGTGAGAGCTTTGGGGGCTAAAAACAATATTTTCTCATTTTAATTTATTTGTCCAATTTTAACTCAGTATTTTAAAAAGCAGTATTAGGATACTCCTCAGGGCTCGCCTCGGGATGGTGCTCTAGAAAAACGTCATGAGACTCATGTGTGAAGCTTAATTCTATGAGACTTACACCTTTAGTGCCAGTTATACGTCCTAAGCACGCTCAACGTCCAACGTGGGGCTCGTCTAACAGATCTTATACAAATTATATGTTAAATTCCTTAGTTAACATTGTTGACCCTCGTAATTTTTTAATAAATGAATAATACTTAATAGTTTTTCATTTATAGAAATAAGAAGATTGATAGTAACTCAAATAACAAGTTGTTGTATCACATATTTACTATTTGGTAATACTGTGAGGATAATTATATATTACGTAACATTTATAAAAAAATACATAGTGAAATTTTACTTCTTTTACTTATCATTGTTCTTCATATTTTATTTCATGTCTCAAAATCATCATATTTTATTATTTAGCTATTTGAAAATTATTTTATTTTTATTCATGATGGAGTGATATTTTTATTGTAATACTAATAATAAGTTTTATTGACTATTTTCTTTTAGAGGGTAAATTATATAGTATGATATTAATATATTTTTAGAAATAGTAATTCTTTTATTATTAGAAAGTTAAGATATTAGAGTTGATTTGCACCTCATAATAGTTTTTATATCATTACATTGATTTTACTCATAATAGTTTTTATATCATTACATTTATTATACTTGTAAAATCATGTTAGTAATTTTATTTTTCATGTATTTTTTTAATCATGTTTGTAATTATTTTAAACTATTCATGCATTTTTATAATTTAGTGTTATTATACTATTTCACTATATTGTAAATTAAAATTTTAAAGATTCATTGGGCTTATCAGTGGCGGAGCAAGGATTTTCAATAGGGAGTTCAAAATCTGAAAAAATAGACACACAAAGTAGTCGAAAGGGGTTCGACATCTACTATATATCTAAACAATTATTTTAATCATATATAAATAATATAATTTTCCGTCGAAGGAAATTCAAATGAACCACCTAACTATAAGGTGGCTCCGCCACCGGGGCTTACGCCTCATCACGTGCTTACTAAAATGTCCCATCTCACCCCTACTTTTTAGAATACTATTTTAACTTGACATGAAGTTAAAACACATAAAGAAAACTTTTAAACTAAAGATAAAATCTTAAACATGTGATATGAAAATTTGAAGGGAAAGAGACATTCCGTATGAAACAAATTAAAAAGGACAAATAAATTGAAACGAGGATTATCAATTCTATATAAAGAGAGAGAAGGAATAATAGGAGGTGTAGTTTGGGAAAAACAATGGAGTTGGATAGTTTCTTACCTCTTTTACTGTTAATTTTCTCATGTTCTTGCTTACCCGTTCTTCCTTGCCAAAATTGTGTCAAAGTTGGCAAATCAATCACTGGGAATCAGAAATTGGTTTCAGCTGATAGAAGTTTTGCCTTAGGATTTTTCACTCCATCAAATTCAACGTACACCTATCTTGGCTTATGGTACAACATAATCCCTCAACAAACAGTCGTTTGGGTTGCCAACAGAGAATCTCCAATCCCACAGAATGCTTCACCAGTTTTCACTATCGGCGATGATGGAAATTTAGTGATTTTCGATGAAAAAGGCAAACTCATCTGGTCATCAAATGTCTCATCAACAGCACCGGAATCATTATTAACTTCAAATTCTACTATCGGAATATTGTTAGATAACGGGAACCTTGTTCTTCGACACTACGGTGAGTCCACTTATTTGTGGCAGAGCTTCCAGTATCCTACAGATACGCTATTACGCCATATGAGATTTGGTTTCAATAAAATTAGTGGCTTACGAAATGTGATCACTTCATGGACAAGTAATGACGATGCTCGCCCTGGAAATTTCTCTTTTGGAATAGACCCTACTGAAGGGGTTATGCGTTTTGTCATTTGGAACCGAAACGGTATTTATTATAGATTTGACGATAGTTGCAGAGCGTATATACTAGCAACAGTGTGGTGTTTCACTGTTGTTACTGAAAATGATAATGTATATCTTAATTTAGCTTACTACAGAATCTTTCTGAGATTAAGAATCGTTCTGAATCCGAGCGGGCACCTTCAGGTGATGGTGTGGAATCGGAATGGAAGTAACAGATGGAATGTTGAATTTGAAGCACCACAATCTAAGTGTGACCTTTACGCACAGTGTGGTCCGTTTGGTATCTGTGGGATCAGATCAAGTGGATTATGCAGTTGTTTAGACGGATTTGAACCTAAATTTTCGACAGATTGGGCAAATGAGAAATGGATTGGAGGTTGTGTGAGAAAAATAGCGTTGGGGTGTGATGGTGGAGATGGATTTTTTAAGCACGAGAATATGAAATTGCCAGATCATGCTGTCTCTTTAGGAAATATGAGCACCGAAGAGTGTGAAACTCAGTGCATTAAGAACTGCTCCTGTTCAGCTTATGCTTGTACGAAAAACGCCTGTTTTATATGGCATGGAGATTTACTGGATCTTGGGCATGACACTACTAACGGCAGAGCTCTCTATGTTCGAGTTCACGTGTTAGAGCTAGGTATGTTTACTTGTATCATTGCTGGTTCTGTTAACAACAAGTGAAAGACTAGTATAATTTTCGTGTTGTGGATGCAGTTACTGATAATCTATCTGGGAATTCAGCTCGAAGATACAAAATTCTCACTGTGAAAATTGTTTCTGCAATTTTTGCAATCTTGCTTCTTGTTAGTACCTCTGCTTTTATCTTCAAAAGAAAGCGCTTGAAAAGACGAGGTGAATCTAGCATTTCTAGACTGTAATGATTTCAGATTTCATATTGTTTACAGTGCTTTGCCTTACTGATTGTTGTTTGAAACTAGATAAGATGGACGGAGATTCTGCTTTAGTTAGCTCCATGCCTAGTGGATCTTTAGTTGGGAAAGATGATATGAAGTTGGTACAGTACAGCCTGCAGAATATAAGAGACGCAACAAACAACTTCCATGAAAGTAACAAACTTGGAGAAGGTGGTTTTGGCCCCGTGTTTAAGGTGCAAAATTCAATATTTTGATGTTCGTATTTAATTTCATGAATATAGAGAATTGTGGCTTTAAACATTCTGTTTCAGGGATCTTTGGCTGAATTTGGAGACGTAGCCATCAAAAGGTTAAGCAGGAGGTCATCACAAGGACTGGAGGAGTTCATGAATGAGTTGAAGCTAATAGCGAATTTGCAGCACAAAAATCTAGTCAGCCTCTTAGGATGTTGCATTGAAGGGGAGGAGAAGATATTGATCTATGAGTATATGCCCAATTGCAGCCTGGACAAATTTATTTCTGGTTATACTCATTAGTATTATTTTCACGAGAATCATAACTTTGTTTTCCTCATTTCTGTTGGCTAATTGGATATTCATTTTTTTCTTTTAGACCCTTCGTTGAAGGTTACACTCGATTGGGATACACGTTTTGGGATAATAGAAGGAATTGCTCAAGGAATACTTTACCTGCATAAGTACTCGAGATTAAAAGTCATCCACAGGGACTTGAAGGTAAGCAACATTCTGCTAGATCAAGAGATGATCCCAAAAATATCAGATTTTGGAATGGCAAGGATTTTCGGGACTGATCAAACACAGGCCAGTACAAAACGAGTGGTTGGTACATAGTAAGTATAGTAGCCGCTTCTGTAACCAGTTTTTATGTTACTACCCCTTGTGTATAGCTACTTAAGACTGATTTACGCCAATATGGCATAGTGGCTATATGTCTCCAGAATACGTAGTATATGGCCAATTCTCGGAGAAATCAGATGTATTCAGCTTTGGAGTATTGCTGTTGGAAATCTTGACTGGTGAACGAAACTCAGACTTCTTCATGACTGAAGTTTGTGTGTCTCTATTAGGATGGGTAAGTACATTCGCGCATTTGAAAACTAAGTCCAAGTTTGTGTCAATTTCTTTTAACATTTCACATCATTTGGCATGTTAGGCATGGAAAATGTGGAAAGAAGGAAGAATGTTGGAGCTAATAGATCCATCAATAAGGGCGACCTGCGACAGTAACAAAACAACACGGTCTGTTCTGGTTGCTCTTCTTTGCGTTCAAGAAATTCCTACTGATCGACCAACAATGTCTGATATAGTTGTCATGTTAAGCAACGAAACAACTCCCATCCCTGAGCCAAAAGAACCGGCTTTTCGCAGCAGCTGGCGACATCAAAAGTTAAACGATGTTTCCATAAATGAGTTGACATTTACTTTGCCAGTACCTAGATGAGAGGATTTAGCTTTCCATATTTCTTATGGAATTAATCTTATTTTGAAAAGAACCATCTCAAAAATGTTTAGCACTGTAAATAAAAAATCAAAAACCAATTAAATTACTCCCTCTGTCCCAGTTTATATCACTTACTTACTTTTTTTAGTCGGTTTCCAAAAAAAATGATAAATAATTTATAGGTACACAAATATTTATCACTTATTTTTCGACACAAATTTCAAAAGTTATCTCTTCTTTCTTAAACACTAAGTCAATTAACTCATATAAAATGTGATATAAGGAGTGCACCAACGCATTGGATAAACCATACACAATTGTTTCTATACTACTACAGTTTAATAGCTAGTTACCTAGCATCGCTATAGTTTCAATATTTACCATTCATAGCAAATCTTTCATTGTCAAGTGTCTATATTCATTGTATTCATTCACGTTCACGCAAAGAATATAACTTGTGTCAATTGTATTATGTCATTTTCTCAAAGAAAAAAAGAAGATAAGTGGAGATAGAAAGAAATCAAAATAAAGTGGATATACATATTGAAAAGCTTAAATTAATGATTAAGAAAAAAAAGATCGATGGCCCATTGAAACTACAGAAATGTTTCTCAGCCCTTCTAATTCAACTATTTTTTGAAAATAAAAGGCAGTGTTAATAATTTCCACAAAGATGGAATCTCATCTTGATTTGTCAAACTAATACATCCCCTTTCTCTAATATGATAAACGTGATTGCACGCGCCGGGTCCCTCACTTCTTCAACTCCCAATTCTTGTATTTCCCTCATTTTCCTCCTAAAACGTAAAAGACCCAAAAAAATATATCCTTTCTCTTTTTCATCTTCTTCTCCATTTGCATATGCATTTTTGTTGATGATCGAAGAATTTTGTTGTGTATTTTCAACTTGATTTCGTAATTTATCAACTGATTTAGTAAAAGGTTAGTTCTTTATCCCTTATTTCGAGTTTTTGCTTTATTCCTTAGGGTTTTTGTTGATTCGTGAAATTAAGAGCAACATTGAGTCTGATTCATCAATACAAAGCTTATTCAAGTTTTCATTTGCCATTTTTGATGAATTTCGAGAAAATTCAAAATTCATATTAGAGACCTAAATAAGAAATTAGAGCAGATTACAAACCCTAAGTTCAAGATTTGAAGTAGAAATGAACATAAACAACTAAACCCTACTTATTTTTGAGAGAAAATCGTGATTTTTTTTTATAAAAGGAACAAGGGTTAATGGTGGGGAAGAGGAAATAGTGGTTTATTTAATGGTGGGGAAGATGATCGTTGGAGAAAGAGAAAATTTTCGTCAAAATTTAAGGTGTTCTCACCTTCTAACGCGCTTAGATGAGGTGTTCTCATCTCATATGACAGGTCAGCGTTTAAGTGTGTAGAAAATAGAGAAATATGAAGTTCAGGGGTAATAGGACACCCGTGAAGTTGGAGTGTGTAGTTGGGATTTCAAGTATAGATTGGGAGGGTTTTAGACCATTTTCTCTTGTTTTGACTTTAAAACTCTTTCATTGGTATCAGAACAGTTATTTTTTAAATTTTAGCCTATTTAAATATTAGACTAATATGCAATTCAAATTGATTGAGGATAAACTTTGTCGTCTAAATATTTTTTAGAAGACATTTAATTTTTTTTTGATATGTGTTATAAAATCAAGCTTAGAATAATATAATATAAAGTGAACAAGACAAGTTAAGTAGAGAAAGGAAAATAGTTTTCTTCTATTCGAGTGTGTCATCCAAATGTTGAATGATATCTCTATCTATAATGTTGAGATATCACTCCCAAAGGTAACCAAACTAGTAGATACATAGTTATCCAAAAAGGTTTTTTATCACCTTGGAAGTATACATACATGAATTCAATTAATTCTTGAATAAATCAAATGAAAATCCACAATTCAATGTATTCATAAAATATGTTATATAGTCACAATAACAATAATTATTAGGTTGTGACACCCTATCTTAAAATACGAAGTCTCATATAGACAAAACAGATGAGAGATGTTGAGTATATAAATAAGCAGACTTTACCTATTATTGATGCATTTTAAAGTCGTGTAGGCTTAGGCCCAAAGCGGATAATATCAATAGAGAGTTGAAATGGTATAAATGGTATCAGAGCTACTCTTATATCAATGCCGCTCTTGTGTCAGCAAAACTAGTAGAGATGTTGGAAATATAAGTAAGCATGTCTTATATCTACTAGAACGCATTTGAAAGTTGTGCAGGCCTAGTGCCAGAACGGACAATATCACTACTGACTTGGATAGTTACATAAGTACTTAAGCAAATTAAAAAAACAGACAAAAAAATTATATTTGGCTTGCGTTTGGACATACGATATGAAGTCATTATTTTAAATCAGTGTTTAGACATATGATTTGAGATCATGATTTCAAATCATATTCCAAACTTTCCAAACAACATAATTTGAGATTCTAAATCGTGATTTCAAATATATATAACTTGACCCATAAATTTATATTTTGTAAAAAAAATACCCAGTATTTTAAATTTTGTAAAAAAGCTCTGAAGGATATTGTTTATACCACGTGAAATAATTATTTTAAAGAACAACTAGTTACTACAATTGTTGACTAATAGAATCTCTGTTGGTTATGAAGGATATTGTTTGTTTCTCCTTTTTGTTGTCTCAGATTGTTTTGTCTTTATATTTCTGTTTGTTTGTGTTATTTTAGTTTTAGGCCATTAGGTGGATTTGGTCTGTTTGGAATTTGTACGTTATCCGGGTGGTTCTTGTACTTATTTGCTTTGTTCATTAACAAAATCGCCTTTCGGCTTATTTATCTTTTTTTAAAAAAGATTAATGAATTTTCATAAAATTATGTATATTTAAAATTTTGTGATCACAAATTTATTTATATAGAGATATGTGAATTATCAATGCGGCACATTAGGATATTAATATTTAATATTCTATTTATGAACTATGGTAAGCTCATTTGCTAGAATAAAATTTAAGAAAATTTTGATAGTTCTCATAAGTTATGAAGTTTTTATGTTTATGATAAAAAATACAACTTAGTCTTTTTTGTTCTTCCATTCTTACTGAATGGCCTTTTAAGACAAGTTAAGAAGGTAGAAGAGACCAAAATGAAACAGAAAATGAACTTTTTTTTATCAACACAATATATTCTATGTTGTACACAATATTAAGCATATATACCTTTCAGTTTTCACTATAAATATCAGCAGTACTGGTCCTAAGTCTTCTACTGCCTAAACAACAAAAAAATTGAGAAAAAGAAAAAGATGATGTATTCCTGTAATTTTGTTTTTTAATCTAAGGTGAAAAAATAAATAAACTTCGCGTTTAAATTCATTTGAAAAACTAATGAATTCATCACATCATCGGCCTTCTTCAACTGTGATTGTCAACTCAATTTTGGTGAAGCTAGGTGGTGTACCAGATGAAACAGAAGTTGAATTAGACACATTTCTCCTTGACACAAAAGCAGGTTGATTAGGCTTTGGAAGAGACGTACTATCACTACGAAGCATCATTACAACATTTGACATGGAAGGACGATCACCTGGATCTTCTTGCACACATAAGAGCCCAACGTTTATGCACGTCATTGCTTCTTTCGGGTTGCATGATTCGAGCAATGAATGATCCAGCAAATGTAGTGCTCTTTTTTCTTTCCAGTAATTCCATGCCTGTGATATCATGATTTAGAATAATGAATATGAAGTCCAACATACATATTGGAAAAAATTAACATGTACTCTAGGCACTCACATGGACCAAAAGGTTAGATGCTTCTTTAGATTGATAAAATCCTGTATTTCTCCTTCCGGTTACTATCTCCAGTATAACTACTCCTAAGCTGAATACGTCTGACTTAATTGAGAATACTCCTTCCAATGCATATTCAGGAGACATATATCCGCTAAATTAATGATGGAATTATCATGAGTCAGATGTGAGATGGAATTAAGCAAAGTTCATAACATTGTCATGTTTGTATTACTTACTAAGTTCCAACCACTTTTTTGGTACTTGCTTCTGTTGTTTGTTCTTCAACTATCCTTGCCAAGCCAAAGTCTGATATTTTTGGGTTCATTTGTTGATCCAAAAGAATGTTACTTGTTTTCAGATCCCTATGAATGATTCTGAGCCTTGAGTCTTCATGAAGATAGAGAAGCCCTCGAGAAATTCCTAATATGATCTCAAATCGCTTTCTCCATTTCAATGACTTGCTAAGTGTTGGATCTTATTTTGGTAAACAACGAGAAAATTTAACAATATTGATCAAGTAAATAGAGAGATTAAGAAATAAGATAAGTTCAGATATATATACTAACCGAATATGAAGGTGTCTAGACTTTTGTTTGACATATACTCGTAAAGTAGAATCTGTTCATACCCTGTGATACAGTAGCCTAAAAGTCTGACTAGATTTCTATGTTGAAGTTTCGAGATCAGTATGACTTCGTTCCTGAATTCTTCAATGCCCTGTCTAGATTGGGTTGATAGCCTTTTCACAGCAATTTCTTGTCCATCTGAAAATATACCCTGAAAGATTTTCAATGTGTAAACTAGGATGCTATGAAATGACTACATAAAGTTGAACTCATGTTAAAATGAATTATTAATGCTAACCTTATAAACAGGACCAAAACCTCCTTGTCCAAGTTTATTTACATCTGAGAAATGATCTGTGGCTGCTAGTATGTTTTCCAAACTAAAGAATGGAACGGCAATGCTTTGCTTATCATTTTCGTTAATCAGGTTTTGTGCTTCTCTTTCTCTGTTTAACCAATGTGGAACTGGATTGCCTCCTGTGCTTTGTTGGCTTGCTAAGATAAAAAATAAAAAAATAAAAAAAAGAGCAGCCTTTTGAGATATCTCTCTTGATCTGATTCGGAAAAAAAAAATGGAAGGAGAAATTTTTCTGGAAGTGGTAAAACAACTACTCCAGAGATTGTAATAGCAACACAAGTACCTGTTTTCTTTGACATTATTCTCCTATGATAAATGTAGCTAAAGCTACATAGAAGTAGAACTGCAACGGCTACCACGCCAGATATGATGACTTTAACCTTCAGGGACAATTTCCCTG